TGCTGGAATGAGATTGTGCTTAGGGAGCAGAAGGTCGCAGTGACTTACTGTCGTGCGGAAAATTCCCCCTTTTCTTTGCGCTTACTGACAGCCAGAAACAGAGTTCTCTGTCTTCAGCCAGCTGGAATCACCTGAAGGTTCTAGCTGAGATACAACATGAATATGTTTATTAATTTATGCGTTAAATATTTGGCATTCAACGCTGAACTAAAATCCTCTTTATTAACATGCTGGAATCAGACGGTCTGTGTGAATTTGCATGTGTTAAGGTACGAGCGATGCTGTGTTCTTGCTCTGAACTTCTTGCCGTTTTCTTTTGCCAGGTGTCTTCCTGCCCGTTGGTTTGGTTTTGCAGCCCTGGATGGGATCTGCAGCAATGGCTGCCTCCTCTGTTTCCGTTGTGCTTTCTTCTTTGCTGTTAAAGATGTGAGTAGGAATCATTTTGTCGTTCATAATTTAGATTTGAAGCTCGGGTCTCTCGCTTTGAGTGACAAAAAAATCAATGTGAGACTAGGACAGGTTTCAAATCTTTTTGAAGTTCAGGCGAGTCTGTGTTTAGCAGTGGGTTTTCTTGCTTGATGAGTCAGTTGGTCCAAAGTGCTTTCAGTGTTTAAAAAACGTTCTTTCGAATGTGAAGAGAAACATTGAAGCAGAAGCGTGTTCAGAATGGAAAATTCCTGAGGAGCCTTTGTGTATTTGTGAGAAATCTCATCATGACCTGCTGGCTTCTGAGCTGGTGCGGCAGCCAGCCCCGCGCTGACACCGAGGATTGCTGCAGTAAGGAAAACGAGCTGCTGCACTCGTCGTCGTGTCTCCGTTCCTTACGCCGCAGCTGGGAGTAGCGTAGCGCTGTGGAGGGAGTGGTATCTTTTGCTGTGTAGGTAACACCCGAGGTTTCGGAAGGAGAGAAGAAGAGTCAGTAAATGATCGAGTGGCCCGCTCTCAGGGGATGCATTTTGCAGATGCTCAGCGCCACCGAAGCAGTTAAATAGTGAGTGATGTGCGTCAGCTTTACCTGTTCTTACGCATCCCGGCCAAAAAGCACTGAATTACCGTCTGGTTTTATAATAGCCTTGCACAATCTGGAACTTTCATCACTGTATAATTGATCAAATTCTGAATGTCTTTGGCTTGTGTATGATCACAGCACACAGGCCAGTATCTTTCCATGTTTTTGTGTACTTTACTTCAACCTGAGATGTGTTGTCACCTTTTCTGCCGTAGGTATCGGAAACCAAGCTCTGAGAAACTCGAGTTCCGAGCCCGTGGCCAAATGAGGCACAAGAGCCCCTCGGAAATTAGCGTCCACATTGGAATTGATGAGACTGGGACAGGCTCTCCCAAACTGAGCTTAATGGATCGAATCATCAATTACAGCAGAGCCTCTATAAATTCTCTCTTTTCAGACAAGCGCTCAGTGAACAGCGTAGTGCTGAACGAACCGGATAAGCATTCGCTTTTGGTGGGAGATTTTGGAGAAGATGACGACACGGCATTATGAAAGGCTCGCCCCTCTCCGCCCACCACTGCTAAGCGAAAAAAAACCAAAAAACCAACCGCAAAACAACCTGAAGCAAAATGAGAAGCCAACCAAAACAGCTGTCTAGAAGTCTGGGCATGTACTGATCGTTCCTGGAGGTCTTGCACAGACTTTCCAGAGTTATTTTTCCTTCTTTTTTTCATTCTTTTTTCTTTTTTTTTTTTTTTTTTTTTTTTTTTTTTTTTTTTTTTTTTTTTAAACTAGACTTACCAAAAGAAGTGGTGCCAGGGCTGTTAATGCTTGCAGACAGGGCCAGGTTGCCGTTCCCTGAACGGTGGTGTAACACTTCCTTGGCAAAACATCAAAATACGTTAAGGAACCAGAAACTTACTCTGTGGCCTTATAACAGGCTACTTGATGCATTATCAATTTAAAAAAAAAAAAAAAAATTACGAATTACTGCATCTGCAAAATTCTGTGTTTGCAGATAGATGTGCCTTACTTGAAAACTGGACCCCTCTTGTTTCCGTAGCCTGCCTTCTACCGGTTCCTCTCAAATGCCGTTTGTTGTCTTTCTTGTGTTTGTTTGTTTGTTTGTTTTTTTTCCCTAACAAACACCTGATTGCAGCTTTTCACACTCCCAGTTTGCAATCGTCTCGTCGCTTGGGATCCGGATTCCTGCGAGGCGGAGATAACCGAGGGGTTTGAGGTTTGCTTTCTAACGTCGTGCCCACAATTAACTCTTCCCATCTGTGCTCCAGCACACTCCTCCGGCTGCGACTGTTTGCTTGAACGGCTCGTGAGGTTTCCTCGTTGCCAACCTCGCCCGAGCCAAAAAACTCCTGCAATGTCTGGATGCTACAAGCACTCCTTAAATGAACCAGAATGATTTGGACCCGGGTCACGCTGTCTGCTTGTAAAACGTTTACAGTTCAGCCTTTGCAGATACCTAAAAACCACCCAAAAAATTGATCATGTGTTCGATAGCATATTCGCATTAGCTGCTTGTAAAGCTGAGCGTCTGTGTGCCAGGAACCACCCAGAATCCGCTCCAGAGCCTGATCCAAGCCGCCTCTCCTTGGGATGTTCAGATCCAGGCTTTGTGAATTAAGACAGTCTTTGCTTGTTGCCCAACCAAAATATAAAAACTGCAGGTTTTGATGCTTAACTCATGAATATTAAAAATATTCTCAGTGAGAGATAAAGGCGTTCATCGCCTGGTAGCTCCCTACCTGTTTGTTACTTCATAAACCTTGTTCCTTGTGTCTTCTGTTGAGACATCTGGAGCATCGACTGTCTTCAATGATGTGGAATTAGATCACAAAATGCCGTCCGTGGTGTAAACATGTAACTCCAATTTGTGTTCATGGAGAGGAAATAACTCACTTTGGAGTATGATAAAGAGGTCTCTCTGCTGTTCTTATTTTTGCCTTGAAGTCAGTGTGTAGGTTGTGTGTGTAAAAAGTCATAAGTAAACAGCTTTTGGTTTTTATCTGAGAACTACAGCAGAGTACCCGTGTGTGGGAACAGGAGAGCTGCGCTGTGCAACGCGCTGGTAGTAAATCAGTCTCTTTGTTACGTAGCAGTGAGCAGAGCAACACCATCTGCTGCTGCCGCTAGTTTTAAGGAGCACAACATTTCTGTTGCAAGATTTAGGTTCTTAATATCGCTACGTGAATAGAGATTATTCTTTTAATTAGGTTATAGCTCTGTGTGTGTGTTGTAGTGTTAAGAAATGCTGAGATACCGTACTGCAAAGCCATTCCTTAGGATCTTCTCAGTTTTCAGTGGCAAAGCTGATTCTTACCGGGATGACAGCTACCTAAAAACTATTGCATCGTATTGTAATGGCTCTTTTTGGTGCTTCATGACCAGAGGAGCTGTTCCCAAAGATTTCATTTTTTTTGTTTATCCACCCTCGTTCTGGGTGGTGTTCTGGGCAAGACCCTGCAGATGGAAGGGAGGTCTTCCGCATCTTTTGGTCTGGATTGTGCGGTGAAGACCCGCAGGGGATCCCAGCGCGCTTTGGGCCAGGAGTTTCCCTGCTGCAGGTGCTGGTTAAGGTATATGTGACATGGAAATGACAGACATCATGCTCTTGTTACAGGAAATGGAGTAGTAATTTCAGCCTAAATTTCTGGTTGGTAGAGAAAGCGGCATGAAGAATTTGTTAAATTATGTCTGAGTATATTTTTAGAGCACTTTGGCTTCGACCTTCTGTTCGAGTTGTCCGTAGGTTGAACGTTTCTGGCGGAATGCTGCCTTTATCACCAAATTTTTCCCCAATACACATGTTTTTTCTAGGCTTTTTCATTTTCTGCAAAACCCAACATTTGATCAGGCTACTTTCCAAACCCAGGAGAGTTAACAAGGTGCAGAGATGATGATCAGGGAACGAGGAACAGTGAAATGCTGCCTGAGAGGAATAGCAACTTCTAAGTCCAGACAGAGGATCAAGCTCTAGAGAGAAGAAATAATGAAGCTGAAGCCCAGTGTTATCCCCAGCACAAAGGGGCATAAGGTGGTTCTGATAAATCGTGGCTGGAATTGAGTTGAAGCTTTTACCTCGAGCAGCTGTAGGTTCTGAGGCAGCTCTGGTAGAGCCAGCAGAGGTGGGAAAGCAAATTGCTCTCGTGTTTCTGAAAGAGGCTCACGTCGAGGAGATGCCAGCAAAAGCAGTGGCCAGGACTTACTGACCCAGGAAGTTCCTTTCAGTCCAGTTTTCCTCTTCAGGAAAATCCCACCTGGGCTCGTCTTTTGAAGTTGAATTTAGCACACGGTGTCTTCTTAAATTCTACCCGTTACTCAAAATTTGGAGTCCAGGCCTTTGAAAATAGGTTGTCTGTCCAGCGCTCCCTCCCCCCAAAAGGTGCGATGCCGATGTGCAGAATGTCCATTGTGTGATTAAAATATTGTATAAGGTGCTTTCATTAAAGAACCAAATTATTTCTGTGTTTGAATGTACAGCGCAAGTGAAATAATGTGAGAGCTGAATGTTTCCCCAACTGTAAATGTTTTAATGTGTAAATATATTACTCCTGTCGGAGACAGTTTGGATTCAGAAGTTTAAAGTATCACTTGGAAACACAGTTACAAATGAAATTGTATTACTAGTTTGTCTATTTTATTGTTTTCTGTAACTAGCTATTTATAAAACCTGTGCTCTATGTAAAAAAACCAAGTACAGATGCTTGGGGCTTTAAAAATTGATCATTGAATCTTACCAATAAACTTTTAAAGGAGTAGACACTTGAAATTTTATATCAAAAAGAATGTGAAACTGTCAAAACGCAATGGACACAAACAAGCATTTTTTTTTATTTATTAGAAACTTTTTTTTTGCTTAGAACCTCCAATAAAATGTAAACTTGAGAAAATTTTTTTTTACTGAATTTCAGTATGAAGAATGGATAAACGAACGCTGTTGTGGAATGTGAATTCAGTGCTGTTACGTTTCTTTGCGTCTAGAAACATGTAGCCTCACGCTTCCTCTCCTTTTAAGACTCCACTTATAAGCTATGTAATAAAAATGTGACAACTGAATACTTTTGAATCATGTTCTATCACCTCCTTTAACTATTTTTTTGCTGACTTCACTGATTCCCCTGCAGGCTGCGCAATGTGGCACCTCTGGGCAATTCTACACCCTCACAGCCCCAAAGAGCTCAAACTGTGCCCGGACAGGACGGAGGCTCTGGCTGAAATGCTCGCAGAGGGGACAGAGGTTCTGACAGTGGTTCTGCGTGTCGCGTGTGCTTTGTCTTCCCCGGGTTAGAGCTCTCGGGGTGAAACAGGAGAGGTGAAGCACCGTTGCTTTTTGCTTGTTCAGCAAGAGGCTGGGGATCGGGGTTTCTGTGTCCACCTCTGCTAAAATGCGAGATGTTCAGCCTGTAGGGCTGTCGGCAAGTGGTGTTGGTGAAGGTTGGGAAACTGGGGGATAAGTGGAAAGGGTCACCGCTGTGTCCCGGAATCGTGGAGTAGCTGAGGCTGGAAGAGACGGCTGGAAGTCCTGTGGTTGGAGCTACATGAGCAGGTGAGCTAGAGCTGGTGGCTCAGGACTGAGAGTTTTTTAATATCACCACAGCTTCTTTGGGCAGGCTGTTCCAGTGATCAGTCACCCTCACAGAGAAAAAGTGTTTTCTCACGTTGGGGAGAAACTTCCTGTCTCCGTTTGTGCCTGTTGCCTCTCGTTTCACTGGGTGCTACCAAAAGCCTGGCTGAAGCACAGGGATTCCTGCAGTCACTCGCGTCCCAGTGCAAAACGCCAAGAGTGAAGTGGTAGAGAAAATTCCACACGAGTGCTCCTGTGCTCCCTTTGTCAAGGTGGCTCGTAATCATTTGGGTGAAAACGTAAAACAAATCTGCCAGAGCCTTGATCATGTCCTGGCAGCAATTGAAGCGCAGTAACGGCTCCCGGCTGGTGTTGCCAGAAGAGGTCGTGGCAGCCCGGCTGGTGCCTGGGGTGTGGTCTCTGAGGGCCAGCACATCTCCAGGGCGTAAAAAAGACGCAAAGATTGAACAGGTTTTACATTTCTGAGTTTCCTAGGAGCACCTCTCAAGCATTTTAAGCAAAGAGTGACTGAATGCTCTAGTATTCCTTTGATTTGTTTCTCTTTTTATTTTTTTTTGTACCTGCACAGTGCAAAACACTTCTTATGCCCGTGTTTCCCAGGCTGCCTCTCCACAAAGCCTCGTGCCTGTTTGCAGGTAGATTGGCTGGGTTGGTTTCTGGAATTGCGTGGTACCATTTTTATCAGATGGCCAGGAGAGGATCTCCTTTTTGATTTTTCTGGATTGCTCAGGCCAGATCACTGGTCTCCAAACCCCAGCCCTTCAGTTTGGTTCATACAAATACACAGGTCAGTGCAGCAGACGTTTGCGATCCGTCTAAACCTGCCCTGATCCCATTCATTTTGGCCAATGAATGGGATGAGAGGGGCAGGATGGTGCAGGCGGTGGCTACGTCAGTCTAAAGTACGGCTTCTGTTTCGTGTTCCTAGAAATGACTTCCTAGAACGGTCATAGCTCTAATGCCAGATCCTTGGGGTTTTTCTCCACCAGCCCT